CGTTTCCCTTCTTTCTTATTGAACGAAGATTGATCTTTTATCCTATTTTTCTGAGACACGAGTCAACGAGGCATAATTGCACCATATTCTTCGTCATATTATACTTATTTCATAATTGTACAATTATTTTTCCTTGATGATCTGGACGTGATCATTTGAAGATTTATGCAATCCTTTGTCACCTCACTAACGTTTCCGATGCAGCAAAGGAAAATTTATTTTCTAGTTATCAATTCGGTGTGAACGAAAAAAATTCATTTAAAACATGAATCTCTTCGTTGTTCAATGAAGTTACGAAGAAACGCTGAAAACAAGAACTAAGCAGTGAGACCACTCTTCGTTTCGCCAAGAAGGGATCAATGAATTGAAATAAACCTTCGTGGCCTGTGATTATTTTCACAATGCTCGCTTAAATCGAAGAAAGTGAGGGAATATAAAAATGTTTGCATTCTTTCAATGAAAATAAAGAATAAACTGAATAGTTACTCGTCGTTACTCTAGGCAAACGTTCGAATTGTTAGAGTTCTACACGGGACTGCGAAGGGTTAAACATCTCCTAAGTCGAATGATTCAATTACTCGTGTCCGTTGCAACCAACGTTTGAATAGATATAGAAACTTCAGCCGTTTCCTGTAAATTCGGTACAATGATTTATTCGGTTTGACGAACCTCGCGAAGAAAGTGGGGTAAATTCGGAACTCCAGCCGCGTCGTCTGGAAACTTGGCCCATTGCGAGGAGCAAGCGTTCGGAGAAGATTCGGCCGGAAGTTTTGCTGATTAGGGGCTGCGTATCCCGCCGGGTATTCCCGTTAACGATTATGAGCGACATCGCCGCGATTGGAACGTCGCCAAATGTTGTAACTGCCGTCAAGAACCGCACAGAAGTACTTCACTGAATATTCACCTGACGATGTGACTGCCGCGGTAATCCCAGCGCCGATTTTCAGTCGTTTAGACGAGTCGATTATCGCCAGAACGACCGTGAACTGTAATTACTCGATGCACTTGCAATGTTTCCAAATTTGACGATCGCGGTCACGTGAATTATTATGCCGCGATGAGCGATTTGAACGGAAGATCGAGACAAACGTGCCGGATTGAAATTGCGTTGCACGAACCGACGGCATTTCTGACACGTGGAATAAAATAACATTTATTACTGACAGGGCGCGGTAAATGTTGTAATGTTTATGATCTCTCGTGAAAATTTTGTAACAATTTGAATTGATTGGCCTTTTGTAATATATATATATATATATATAAAAGTGTAAATTTTGTGCTTTTCAGTTTCGAATTTTATCGTGAAGAATGAAATACCAATTTAATATAAAATGAAATTTAAATGGAATATTCCACGGTGTTGGGTGAAAAAATGTTAAATAAATTTAACGAACAATTCTTATTTTAACGGTACGAAAAATGCAGCGTGGTGGAAACGACTGCTTGTAAGAGTTTAGTGAAAGAATGGTAGTTCAAGTTTCTTGGATCTTATTCAAATGAAAGTTTGACATCATTTCAGTCGTCTAAACGAGAAAAGTTTAACTGATTGTTCAGCACTGTGATCATAATCATTTTGAAGTCGTGTTCCTCCGCCATCTTTTAATCATGAAATAAGTTTTAATCGATGGCTAATTTACATAATTGGAAAGATATGCCTAAATTTACATTGACAAAGTAATTATCTACTGTATGATGTATCGGGTACATACAAGCTTCATCTACATAGTAATAATAATCATTATTTACATCAAACATCCTTTGATAAAGTAAAACATAAATAGCTGCAAAATTAATATTAAGTCCTTTGAGTGGAGAAAGAATTTTCGCAATATTATTTTGAAATAGGGATATAAAGTAATATAGTAGAAAATGCTCGTTTCACTGTTTCGCACTGACTTTGATATATTTTATTATTTGCATATTTATAGTATTTGCATATGCAAACCAACGATTAATCGGAGCGAATATACTCGAAAATATTGACTAGAATTACGTGACAAATGTAATTAATAACAAAAAGAATCGAAAAAGAAACGTGTTTACAGATTTGGATCATGTTTGCGATGAAGTGCAGTTATGTGCAGAGATAAATGTATAAAGAACATTTAAAAATTTTTAGGCAAAATGTTAAATTTCACAAGTTCAAAAATGTCAGAGCACTAAATAACTATTATTTTGACAATGAGCATACAACCTCGCGCAAAAGTATTAATTAGCACAAGTATTAATTATACTTGTTCCTAATTGAAAAAATTGGAGAATACCTCATGTAAATAAGAATGTACAAAGTATTAATACATTGAAAATGCTATTTAAAAATTTTGTCATCTACGACGAATATTAGGAAAGCGTTCGAAGAGTTTTGCGTTGTATTTGCGTCACCAATAATTTTCAATATGTGTAATTATAATAGGGTTTCTTGATCTAAAAACGAAAAAGTTGAAGATCTCTGCACTTGAATGATTCTGCTAGAGGAAGACTTCCAGAACGAAGAAGGTAACTCCACTTCAGGCACTCTAGTAAAAACAGGCAAGAGTTCAGTAACATTCCGTCTACTGGCTTCGTGACACGGATAAATTCTTCAAACTTTAATAAACTTCCGCGAAGTCCTGACGTTAGCAAGAAGCCGACAAAAATCGCGCAAACACGCCATGTTTAGCAATTTTCAGTCCAGAACAGGCTTTATCTACAGACAAATTATTTCCAAAAATTTTATTCTCAGTTGATCAGCAAGCCACCAAAAATTTCTACGAAATTAACGTATTTTTCTTAATGAAACTTCCAGTTCATGAAACAGTTTAGTTATAATATCGTAATTATGTTTTAACGACTAAACTGTTCCGTCGATTGATAATTTAAACATCAAAAGGATATTTGCACGGTATATATTACATCTAATGAGAGGTAATTTACGCTGACTGGCTTCTGAGCTCTCCACATATTGATGTACAACATTAATATCCACTGGGAGAGTAGGCAGTTAATATAACTGAATTTCATTTACACCTAAGGAAGAACAAGCCATTAATATAAAAAAATATAGTATAACAGAATTTCACTGATTCTTTTTACTATTTGTAACTTTTCGTTCATGCAGTAGGACTTTAGATTTTCCTAGCAAGATAATCTCCAATTGATTAGCATTTTTCAATTTCACACGAGTCACGTTATATTTCACATTCTTAGAAAAAAATATCCGACATTTATATACATAATTAAAAAGTTCAACGTAGAAAATGGTCCTATTACTGTAAAAGCTTCAATTACTTAAATTACTTAAATTAGATACAAATAGTCGACAATTAATTGACACTCTTTAATTTCATACGAGTCACATTTTCAGAAAAAAATATCTGACATCTACGTACATACATAATTAAAAAGTTGAACGTATAGAAAATGGTCCTACTACTGTAAAAGCTTCAATTACTTAAATTACTTAAATTAGATACAAATAATCGACAATTAATTGACACTCTTTAATTTCATACGAGTCACATTTTCAGAAAAAAATATCTGACATCTACGTACATAATTAAAAAGTTCAACGTAGAAAATGGTCTTATTACTGTAAAAGCTTCGATTACTTAAATTACTCAAGTTAAATACAAATAATCGACAATTAATTGACACTCTTTAATTTCATACGAGTCACATTTTCAGAAAAAAATATCTGACATCTACGTACATAATTAAAAAGTTCAACGTAGAAAATGGTCTTATTACTGTAAAAGCTTCGATTACTTAAATTACTCAAGTTAAATACAAATAATCGACAATTAATTGACACTCTTTAATTTCATACGAGTCACATTTTCAGAAAAAAATATCTGACATCTACGTACATAATTAAAAAGTTCAACGTAGAACATGGTCCTATTACTGTAAAAGCTTCAATTACTTAAATTACTCAAGTTAAATACAAATAATCGACAATTAATTGACACTCTTTAATTTCATACGAGTCGCATTTTTAGAAAAAAATATCTGACATCTACGTACATACATAATTAAAAACTTGAACATATAGAAAATGGTCTTGCCACCGCAAAATGTCCAATCACTGAACTCAGCGTCCAAAACACGGACAATGCCGGACCAATTGACATTGCCAGAATGTTATAAAATCATCAACGCATTCCAAACGACGTTCCATCCCGGCCCGATCATTCGAATATGCTTAATGACTATCGAAACGTTCGAAACGCGCGAACTGTAGCCAGTCGTGTACCGACCGAGTACGGTGCCGTTCGAATTCATCAGCGACTCGATGAATCGTGCTGCGGGGATCGAAGTCCAACCTGTCAAGTGGCAACATCTGCTAGCAGTTACGCAATGCGAGCAATTTCCTTAATTAGCCGAGGATGCATGTACGTGCCGCCCACGCGCTTCGAATTATGCCTGACGGTCGTGAGGCACGCGTGCACGCGCCTACGCGCGACGCGTGTGTGAATCGTTAATAGGCGAACACGGCTTCTGATATCGAGATCCCTTACACGGCCACGAGAATGTTGTCAGATCGCTCAGTTAATATCACGGACTGACTCGATCCGTTTTCAATGATTAATCGGATAATCCAGCGGGGATTACTACTTCGTTCGCGATTTGGATGTTGGTGAAATTAACACGATCAAACTGCTGTACCGCCGGCTGTGATAACGAACTCAAAATGGGAATTCAGAACCATTGGGATTAGTTGTTTGGACGGTTCTTTTTGTTTTTTTAAATCAGATTTACGTTAAGGAAATTTGTGATAAGGATTTGTATATCGTCATCGTATGCTGAGATTGTGTAAGAATTGATTTGAAGAATCTTCGTTTTTCAAGAATAAATTCAGCACGATGACTGGACACTACTGATCATTTTTATAAATATTCGAAAATGATTAAAGTAAGATGGATATCATTGGCGATAAAATTTTAAGTAACACAAAAAATTAGATAATACCATAAAAAGAGAAAACATACTTTCACTGTAATATTTTATAAAAATTAAGTTGTTGAGAGAATTATTAGATTTAATAAATTTTGATTTTTGAAAACTTTAATTAAAGAAAATAATTTGATCTTTAATTTAAAGTTAATAGAGTAAATTATCTTAGGGATAACGGCGTTATATTTTTTTTATAGATCTTATAGAAAAAAATGATTGCGACCTCGATCGTTGAATGAAGATAAATGTTAAATGTAGAAGTTTAATAATTAAGTCTGTTCGACTTTTAAAATCTTACATGATTTGAGTTCAAACCGACGTAAGTCAGATTGGTTTCTATCTACAAAAATGTTTAAATTATTTGCACGAAAAGACTATAATTTATATATTACAATTTCCCAATACTGTAAAAAATTAAATATAAAAATTAAATATTAGTAGGCAAGTTGTGTAAATTTTGCGTAGGAATCAGTGGTTTTAAGAAACGTGTTTTAACATTTGACAGCGTACAAATTTTTTATTTTATTTTCTATTTCATGATAAAGAAAAAGCGTCTCTGTGGTTTTCCTATACTTGGACTTTAATAAGTCTCACTTCATTCGTAAATTCTTCTTTAGTAAATGTGTCGTCTTTACTTAGACCTGAGCTGAACTCATTTGTCTAACTTTCAGCAGTTTGTCATATATTCTCGAACAAAATATCGCTGAAATAATAAGCTATTGTAGACAATGTTTCAGATCAGCCCGCGACAACAATTAACATTCCATTTCCTATCGGCACTTGTTTACATCTCATTGTACTTTCGAACTTGGAAACTAGAAGTTCGCGGAGGCTCCTATCTTAATTGAATTTCCTCAATTCAACGACTCTCTTCCCGTACTCGTAACGAACGTGTTGCTTCTTAGTAACTATACTAATTCACAGAGACATTTGTATTCATTTATCTACTGTCATGTAATAAGATTCACTGAATCATACGAAGTGTCGGTTATATATGATTACTTCGGCTAAAATTGTCTGGAACGATATCTTTGAAAAGGATTTATTCAATATTCAAATTTCTCCAATGATTGTACTTCGTTCACAAATTTCTTTGATCAGAACGAAAAATCGAATAAACAATTCGAAGTATGTAAGAAAATGTCAATTCTCAAACTGTTAAGGACCAAGCAATGATTTATAAATATATTCGATTTATTAAAATTGTAAGAATTGCAAAATCGTAGAACCTAAGTAAAAAAAGTATTATTGAAAGAAATATGAATTAAATTTCTGAAATTCTTCAGCAAAATTCGGCAATATAAAATAACTGAAAAGAAAATTACGAATGAAATGTTACGTGTAAGATTCACCTTGAATAATTTAATATGTGTCTGCCGTGATTGACCAATTCAATGCAGAAGTTTCATTTTGTCCACAAATTTTCTTAATTGTCGGGGTGAAATGTCTCTTCAATCAAAACAATTACACCCGACGTAAATGTGAAAATTATAGTTCACAGATGATCACCCGCATAATTAGAACTTGGTTATCCAGTCTCGTAGCTGACTATTGTTTCCGGTGTGCACGGTTGAACACCTAACTACGAACGGATTAATCCGGAGCTAATTAGTTTATGCACGTTCGTTAAATTCCCATCGGCCGACGAACTCGCCAAATAAAGTTGCAACGGGATTCCGAAACTCGAAAATAGATCGTTCCGAAATAGGAAAATTGAAACACCATTTCGTTAAGCCAATATCGCTCCGAATAAGATGCCAGTTAAAATACTCCAGTGACGAGGAGCTCAATTGCAGATTTTCCCGCAACTCGGACGATTATCGACAAAAATAGGAAAAACGCGGCGAGGATCCCGCTGAATATGGGGGATAAAATGAAATCGCTGAATCGGTTCTCACTGTAAAATGTAAGCCCAGCGAATGGTTACGTACGTATGAAATTTGAACGCGTTACTTCTCACGTGATCAACAAAAATTTTTCGAACTCGCGAAAATTTGCGATTATTCCCGTGGAGATTGGGGACGTCGAAGCGAATGCATTTAACGTGAAATATCGCATGATACGTTCGCGCGATTTCTCTGAATTTGGGGAAATTTGTTGAGTGCGATACGTGCATGTGAAAGAGTGACGAGCGGAAACTGGGGATTTTTGCGCATTTATAGGAAACTTTCGAGTGCGAAATCGCAGTGCACGTAACGTGAAGAGATGCATAAAATGTGTCAGTACGTAAAATAATTTTCTGGCGAGGTTTTAATTTCTAATAAATTATATTCTCAAAATTACGAATTTCTGCGTAAAAATCCGCGATCCAGCGATGACGTAAAGTTGAATTTAAAACGAATTTGTAATATGAAACTGAAGCTAATAAATTTCTAACAAATATTATAATATGCTATATGTTAATATATACTATTATATTATTATATATTATTATACTAATATATTAATATATATTATTATTATATATTATATATTATAATAATATATATTATTATATATTATAATAATTATTCAAAAGTTGATATTGTACTTTCCTGCAAGTTATTATTAATAACATCTTGCGAAACAATTTTTCGCAAGCCAGAATTACTTAATTGCTAACGTTTAAAATCTATCGTGTGCTTCGACAGTCATTCCGTTTATTTCGCACTTCTATGAAACAAATACGCCGGGCAAATTAACAAAATAACACTCGTCTCGAGTTTTATGAAAATAACGGCGTGTCGAGTCCGACAAAAATTTCATCCGATCGAACCTTGAAGCACGGGACGAGTTTATCGGAAGCTTCGCAGCTTTTTTCCAAATTATCGATCGTTGATTGCGGTACTACGTACCACTGAAATTTATCGAATGTTTCGAAAATGAAAAAAAAACAAAAACAAAAAGAAAATACTTCATCGTGAACGCTTAAACGAATGGGGGCACCGGTGATTTCAGTTTGCATATTCAAATATCTTCCGTTTATATTCACTGTGTATTTAGCGAGAAATTTTTCGCGAAATACAAATTCAACCGGACGGTGCACCGCGTTTGTTCCCGCTGTAATTGCTTTGACGTCGATCTGACAATCATTCGATCGAGCTTAATTGAGCCACGTTTTATATTCAACCTGATTTGATTTTCGATTATCCGAATTGCTATCGCAGTTTTTCTATGCAATAAATGGAAAAAACGTCGAGATAAAATTCACGCTGTGTTTTGTGAAGAAATATTTCATTTGCAGAGCGACAGAGAGATCTTCAATTCAGACGATATATTGTGATCGACATATCGATAGGAAAAAGTATAGAATTAATAGGAAAAGCGAAAGATTATGGTTTCGATTTTCTCGTCATATGAATGTCCCGTCTTAGGGAATGTTATTATACCAGAAACGCTTTTAGTTTCGGAATACATTTGAATAATGTTTGATTTCAAAGTACTCTTTGACGGTCAACCTGCTATTACAGCTGGTCCCACTAAAATTCATGGACCACAATCCTAATTTCCATAACATACATAACCGTAGCGTCCACCAGACCGGGATATCGTGCTTTACCATCTCACTTTCGGCGTTTTATTTGACATTGAATTATCGTCACAGTCGTGAAACGTCAAATCCCTCAAATGAGTTTTGAGCAGTATCGTATATGATGGATATTAACTTGCGCGTTTTTGTATCTTTAATTTTCCAAGCTATAATTTTAAACGCGTTACTACTAAATTTGAAATGATGGAAATTTCACAATTCCTGACAATCTTTTCTGAAAGTGGAAATATTTCAAAGGCGTCAAGATTTTTGTTCTCTTCGATGAAACTGGTATTTTTAGTAGTGTTACACGTACTAATTTATGCATGCATTTAAAGCATCTGAGATTTTATCTAAGGGAAATTAGTTTGACGCATTAACCTTAATGTTCCCTCTTTAGCATTCTAATAGAACGGTGATGGTAGGTAACAGCGGCAGAGGTAAATATTGCATCGAAAATCAGCAAATAAAAGTTTCAGGTAGCGCAACATTTTGTTCAAATATTTCCAAATTTCCGGCTGTTCAATATTTGCATAATGTTATAACGAAGTATCGAATCTCTTCAACTTTATGTTCTGCCAATATGTATTTTAAGTTCTCCCTCGGAAAGGCTAACTTCCTTTCAATTTTTTAAATATTTGCCTTATCTTTCGAATTGTGAATTTTAATTTTGAATTCCACATTCTCAAAAGTTTGATTTAACTAGCAAAGAATTACATCGACGATAAGATTGTTCCAATTTATACTCACTACAAATATTTCTCTTAAACCGAAATTTACGTAAACCAGCCCACCGATAATTATTCAGCAAAATGTAAGCATCGCCACGAATAAAAACTTTCATCTTTCTTCCAAAAACCTAGAATCTTAATCTCGTTATACCGTATCAATCTTCCTTGAAATGAAGCTTCGTTACGAATAGAACTTTGTCCCAATTTGTCGCTTGAATTTCTTTGAAATCACTGTCCTATCGGGATAACTCCATCGTGGAAAAAAATTCCACGAAACGAATAAACTATATAAAACTATACAGGAGGAGACAGAAGTACATCTGTGTAAAAGTGAAAAAACGATCGCCAACTACAATTTCAGATGGCTAGTAACCTCGATAAACGAATCTACGGACAATTGTCTCAGAAACGATCGAACAATAGTACGAACAATAACCTGGGTCTTTCTATTCTTCAATAAATACACTTCTCTCATCTTGATATTATAGCCTTGATATTTTTCTTTCGTTTCAACCAATTTGACTCTCGAATGAATCTCCGTGAAATCATTGTCAAATAATTTTTTATAGAAACTATACACGAGAAGTATAGAAATATTCTCAGATAACAATATATACCTGTTCTTCGTGAGTCACGTTGTTATCCACATAAAGTCCTAACAAATAGTTGATTAGATTGCTTATTGTTAGTTTGCCCTTTATAGATACTTGCCCTTTAAATAACCTATAGATACTTTTAGAAATGGAGAAGAATATCATCTAGTATTGCAAGTTTTCAGCAACAGCCAAAGTCTATTGAAGCAATCCCCACAATAATTGACGAAGGACTGTCCCTGCAATATTTTTATACTATATCGATAACTCGGAAATTAAGCTTTTTGTCGCAAAAAGGTGAAAACAATGTCTCTATAAAAATACGAAATTTTTAGTTATTAGCTGGTAATCTCTAAAATAAAGTGGCTGTAATTAAAACGATCAGATTGTTCGACCAAAAATACTACTTTCAGTTGAAAAATTAGAAATCGCTCCAACTTGATTGAAATGATGCCTGCACAAGCAATTTTGAAGTTAATCAATTTACGATTCGGATTAATCCGATACGATTACTGTTTGATCAAGAGTAATGATCGTTCAATGTCCAATGAACGCCTAAACGAATCTACGGACAGTCGTTTTAAAAAAATCGAAACGTCGCTACGAAGGTTTCTCTCTTTAACAAATACATTTCTCATCCTTGTTGTGCAATCGAACAAATCTCTTCAATCTCTCATCCCTCAATTTTTCTCCGTATGAAGCTTCGTTGCGACTGCCGGTTTGATTGCTCGAATTTCTTCGGAGACCGCAGTGATATCTGGACCCCGACCACGAAAACAATTTGACGAAACGAATAAAACTGTACACGCTGCTGCTGTTAACAACCGTCTCGTACTTTCACGTGGTAAACAGCACACTGATGAAACAGCAGGAAATCCCATTCCGGATTTAATTAGCCGTGTCCCCACTGAATGGTGAATATAATCGCGGCCATCGAGTCACCCAGGACGAGTAAAACGTCGACTTCTGGACGGTGGTCGCTGATTGGAAATCGACAGGCACTGTGAAATTGAAGTCGAAAACTGCACGATGAATCCTCGTACTGCAAGTGAGTACCAGTGCTAGTTTCCTCAGGAAAACGACGAACTGGTGTTACTCGTCGGAGGGACAACTGTCCGATTCGATTTGCGGATCGTTGACAATTGAATTGATGGAATGGATTATCGTTTGAAATGGGTGGTTTCTAGAACGATTTTTGGAGCAGAAACTGGTCAGAAGATGATCTGAGACTCTATTGGAAGGATGAAATAGAAATGATTGAATTGACAGAATTATTAAAGTAATCAATTGTATATTCTACAAGATTAAATTACTGGAGTAATTTAATTTTAGAAGAATAACATTCGATTTTGTTTAACAATACTGACTAATAAATAAACGAACGACTTAATTTTAGCTGAAATATTATGTACGACGAACGGGACTTCGTTCCATCATGATTCCGTACATCATTCTTCATTATCTTCAAAGAGAACAAACCGTCACGTGATAAAATCACAAGATTAATGCCGAGATTAACGTTAAATCCTAATATTTCTAATTAAATCCTAATATTTCTAATTAAAAAGAATTGAAGAATTCGAGTGTCCAATGAAGTCGTTCGACGCGAATACATTAAACTTTGGAAATTGAATTTATTTTATCATCCCAGTGGAGTTACGGCCCGGGGTTAATACGGTATCGTGGTTTTTAACGGAGGTCGTAAAAGTGAAAGTACGGGTGAATAGGGGAGTGAAATCAGGTCCATTAGGAGAACCCTCGGTTCGTCGAAGATCCGCCATTTCGCTAACCACGTTTGACCGTAGGCGAGTGATAAAGCGTGTGGAACGTAAAACAGTAGAAACGAATGAAAAAAAGAAGAGCAGAAGGGAGATTTCTTTTTTTTTTTTTCGTAGAATAAAAGCACTCTGAATCGTTAAAGAAAATTGGAAAATCGAAAATTCATCGAAATAATAGACAGAGTGATTTATTGTAAAATATCTTCTAAACCATTAGGTTTAGGACCAATGTGACTTAATACTTTTTTTTTTTTTACTTGGAATTTAATATTCCTTCGATTAATGATAAAGAATAATACATGGTCCAATTAAAAAAAATAAAGACGACCTTGGAAATATGGAATCCCTTCAATACACACAAAAAATTGATACGCCATATCATTTTGTTTTCCTTGAAATCATACAACTTGCGTGTTATAATAATTTTTCATTAGATACAATTTAAAAGTTCTTTCTGGTGTGCAAGTTACATGATTCTCCTTGCATCAATGACAAAATTTGCAGATGACACGATAGAACGCAGTTGCATCTTTATGCCCTAATGTTATAAGAGGGAAAATGTCACTTATCGTTTGCTACGAAATTCTCACAGAAGTGCGAACGACAGTTTAATGTACAATTACAAATCGTAATGCATTTATTACACAACAATTATTACATTTGTAAATGTACTTTTCCTTAAAATTACTACACGGCAGATTAATTTAGAAAGTTCAAATATTGAATGACAATTTAATAAAAATTTAAGATAACAGACATGCTTTTCTACATATGTACAAACGTATGTAGAAAAAAAAAAAAACATGTTGACTAAAGTCCGACTGTCCATTGTCAAAGGATTACGTTACAAGTTGCTGGGAAAGTGATACCAAATCTGCTACGATACTACGTCGCGGATGCTGTTACAGCAACAAAACGAAAGAACAATTAACCACTCGAGCAACTTCTTCCACGGAGGCACAATTCGTGCAGTCGCTTCGTTGAACAATCGTGCACTCGACGTGGAAGCACTCATTCATCGTTGAACCACCATTCTGTCGTGAGTGAAAAGAGTGGTTCGAACTCCGTAGGAGTATTACTTCGACGAGGTCGTTCGTTTCCTTCCGATTCTATTTGCCGTTTCTCGTCGGTCCGGGGCCGCACGGTTCGAAGGTTTGGGTTCCGAGTCGTTTAATTACTTCCACCAGTCAGGTGAAAACGCGTGTCTACCGAGACGGAAGGAATTTTTCTGGTAACGTCGTATCGGACGTACTCGATGATACAGTTGGAGATTCGTGACAGCAGGAACGACGAAACAACGCGATTCGAAGGACGTAATTAGAATCGTTACGGCGTGGAACGACGTCTGAGGAAAACGAACGTTCCTCTCGAGTGACCTTGTTTTCTGTTACGCCAGTAAGATAATTCGAATAGGGAAGCTCGACTTTCTTTTCCCCGGGATTCATCTCGAGTATCGCTTTTTGATTCAATCGAGAAATTATGGAGAAGTTGGCGTGAATTGTTGTGAAAGAGACGATACAACGATGTCCCATTTTATGAAAGGTTAATATTGAACAATAAAGAAGTAAAAGAAAGTTATGTCTGATCAGTTGAAACTTGGTCGGTTGAGTTTTATTATCTTGAGAAAAAAATTGATTTGTTGGTGAAATTGGTTGCTGATAAAATTATTAGAAAAGAACGTGCAAGGGGAAGAATTTCAGTTCAATTTCTTTTTGAAGAAAAGAGAATTTTCGGGAAAAATTTGTTGAAATCGGTTGGAATTTATCAAGGGTTTCTTTTGTGATTAATAAAATTTATAGGGAGAAGAATCGTTCAATCTTATAAGAGATTAATATTGGACAACAAAGAAGTGAAAGAAAATTATCTTTGGTCAGTTAAAATTATCGATTGATAGTTTCGTCATTTTTGAAAAATTGGTTTGTTTTAAAATTTCATTTGAATGTTTGAAACGCAATGCATGTATTTTATCAAGATTTTTACTCTCGTCTCGATTCTACGATGACGCTTTGTAATTCTCAACGAAACATAAAAAAAAAAAATTGTAAGTTGCTAAGAGAGTTGAAGTATGAAGCAGCAGCAAAAAATTTATTAGAATGTAGGATGAAATGGTCGACAGTAATTTTCGTGTCGTTACATCACATAGTGGTGTGTTACTTTTTTCCCCCTTTTTTTAGAAGAGTGAGTTAATTTTATGAAATTGCAACTTGCTTTGACCGCTTGGTTATATATATGGTCATATAGTACATGTAAAAGGATTGTAAATTTGTATTTCTTTATTCCAATTCTACAACCTTTCGACTAATTTTGACCGCAATGTATAAAATTATTTCAACGAATAAACAATAACTATTCTATTTATCCACAAAATATATCCATGGTTTTAAATTCAAATTAAATTTTAATTAAATAAAAATGTTTTAACAAAAAATTTAATTACCTTTTTGTGAGATCTGAGATTTCAAAGGATAATGTTAAACTATCGAGGAAGAAAATTAACGGATGTATGTGAGGTGCACGGTCTGTAACGATGATCAAATAAAATCCATTGTATAAAACCTGAAAATCGTGATACATGAGGGGGAAAGTTTCTCGAACGATGGAACGTTGGAAAAGAGTAGCGACGTCTACTGTCTACCATGAAATTTACCGCGAACCTATAAAAGTTGCGCAACTTAACACTGACATTATAACTTGAGGTTAAGTTTCAAAATGGTAATGAAAATCTTCGAAGCACGAACCATGTTGCAAGATAACGTTGGCAGCCTGTCAACTAGAAAAAAATCTAGCTAGAGACAAGTTAACGAGTCATAAATCAATTTTGTAGAAATTAAACGTTTAAATTCTTTAATATTTACAAGACGTACTTTGAATTTTTATCATATTTAAATCACTATTGCGTTCAATTTTGTGGAAAATTTTGTTAATAACAAAAGTTAAATCTTAATTACTTTGAAGCAGAAGTATTGACAGAGTTATATTAAAGATTTTATGTCGGTATTAAAATTATTTTGAAAAATAACTGTAATTTAAATTTAAAGATATTAGTTGTTAGTAATCTGTAAAAAGTGGATTGTAAAAGGGACACCTTAAATAAAATTTGACGTCTGACTTCTTACTCTATATACTACATAAACTTTTCAACAAAATCTCTAACCATAGTACTATCTGTCTTGATAAAAATTATTTTCAATCGAAGAGTTAGAAACAGTGAGAAATACAGTGTCTGACCAGCTATCCGATCTTCTACTGAAATTTTCTACAAATCCATTCAAGTGTAATATTCAGTTTGAGCTGAAAAAAATTGAAACTACAACTCGCGCAATCGAAATAAAACAGAACTAAAATAACCCAAGATATTTTCCTCGTTCGTACGAAACGACAAATATATACAAGATAGAAACCAAAATTTTGCCGCGAGATGGAAATATAATACTGCAGCAAAGAAAGAAAGCAAACTCGTGGTAACAAAGTACAAACAATCTAGACTCTCGGAAACAGAACAGAAATACTGTAACAATTTTCTAGTCTTTCGTCCAGGATTTTCAAGCTTAAATATTCTTATAAAAGAAAGAAGAAAAAGAAAACAAAAACAATCTTCAAAGCGCGTACAAGAAGAACTGCAAAAAACAACGATAAAATCAGCGATTAAATTTAGAAGAAAAGAGAGAAAACACCAAATTAAACACTACTAAAACACGAGAGAAATGGAAATGGTAAATAAACGGTCTGAAAACGAGTGCGAAGAAACGAAAAAACGAATCCAGCCGTGAGAAACAAATTATTCAACGCTGAAAACAGAACTGTGGAGGCAAAAGAAACCAGCGAGGCAGCATTGAACATGGAAAAAAAATTCTTTTTCCTTTACACAGTGATTATGCCGTTATTTGCATTAGGGTCATTTGATATTGAATTCTGGTTTGATAAGTGTTACCAATTTTATGATTCATAATTAATTACAGTGAGAAATTTCTTGAGCGTCTGACTGGTTACTCATTCTTCTACTTAAACTGTCTGCAAATATAGAATCGAGACGAACCTCTCTAATATTTTCGAAACATCGAAACATTCACGTTATCGGAACAGAATGTCTCTTAGTAACAATAGCAATCTACAGATATTCTACGCCATGGTGTTAAATAGAAACGAACAAAAGATATTTGGCCGTGAAAGTGTGAAATTTATTTCCACAGTCAAGACTAAACTAAATTAACCGACACGCTAAAGAGGGCTGAAGCAGTCTCATGGAAGACAAAGTGATTCAACAGAGAAAACAGAGGGAAGAAGAATTCACACGATGGTGAATGCGGCGCTTACGAGGGGGCGAAAAAAAACCAGCGAATCAACGTCTGAATGGGAGAAAAGATTTCCCGCTTAATTACGCCGCGTTTACATTAGGATTATCCGCGAGGCGGCCGAAATCCTGCGGTCTGCGGTGCGCCGTCGCAATTAAATGGACATTTTTAATCTCGGCCGACCCGAATCCTCGTCATTCACGCCGCGTGAGAACGATCCTTTCGTTCACTAGGATGAAAACGAAGAGCGACCAACGTGGCGCCGCTTTCTGAAAAGAGGCGTTGCTCTCTGACGAAGTCTCGCTTTGGCGAGCGAGCTGCGTCTGGCAAGAGATTAGACACGTGAATTAGTTGAATGAGTTAGCATCTCGAACCTGAAAACGCGCGAACAACAGAGGTTCCCTTTGGGGTATTAAAGGCCATTCAATTCTTCGAGGCTGAATGAGAGTACGTGTAAGACAGGTTGAATGAAGCGGGAAATACCGGGATTTGTACGCTAGCTTTCGAGGTGAAGTATCCTCGGTTGGGAATTGTTCGTTCTTGATGTTTCCACCGCTGTTGAAGTATTTATGTACTTAAGATAGATTTGGGACGCTGTCAAGGAAATGTGAATGGAACGCGCACGTCGCGAAAGAGATGGATCTTGCTTTAAGAATGAAAATATACGACTGCGGTGCTCTTCGTCGTATATTGGAATTTTTTTTAGTCGACTCTTTCATGGAAATTGAGAAATTTCCATTATTCGAACGACACAATGTGTACCGGTATGATTTTCGTAATTGTTTGTTTGTGATGAACATTTTGAACAATACAAAAATCACTTCTTACTAAAATAAATAAAACTCCTTTATCACATATTTTTTTAAATTTGTCTTTTTACAGATCGAAGTACACTAATTTAAGTTCACGCTTGAATTTTAATTTACAATTAATAAAATTAGTTTCTTCTTATATTTCGATGTTTTATCAAAAAAGAATAGGTGGGAAGAAACTTGTGGCCCACTCTGTATATCTGTAACATTTCAGTCTTTAGGCTCAAGTTCAGAGCGCCATTTAATTGATCGATAAATGAGAATACTTAGAGAGAATCTTAGAGAATACTTAATAACAAATTTTTGAGTCAAGAAAATATGAGAAAAATCGGTAGGCACAAATAACTGTACCCTGCTCCACTTTTTTTTTTTTTAAAGAACGAATCGTTTCACCAACAGTTCTATAGCAGCGATTAAAAACCACCGGTGGCCCAAGCAACAGACGACCCAGATATATCCCACAAAACGCCTTGTTACTCGTTTGCGCGCAGATTTACGAGGCCAGGCCACAAAACTACGCCGAGACATCCGATGGACATGCGAGAGCTGCTCGTGAAATTTCTTTCGCCGAGAGAGAATCCGGACGTTCGTCAGCGAGCCGTGAATAAACGTTTGAACGCAACGGAAATTAAAACGGCCGCCTTTATATTGCAGCTTGGGGAACATAATGGCGTGAACCGGTACACGACAATTTTTTTATAAAAGAGCCTGTCGATTGCCGGTGAACTTGAACAATTTGGAACTTCAATGAATTTAATCCAACGAATTTAATTCATCTGTGTAAACGTAACAGATCTCAATTCTCAAAATTTTTCGATCTAAATCTAAAGTTGCTCGAAAAAAAGATTTTCGATAAAAAGATAATTATTTGGAGACCATAGGTTGTAATGCCGATGTAAAAATCTCAGATTACAGACGTCTGAAGATTCTCTTCGAATTGTACGAATTGTTCGAATTGTACTGTATCATTTTAAATTCTCATATCCTACGTTTACATACATACATGAACATAATATAATTTACGCAAGATGTTAATTGCAAACGTGCTTCATTGTTGAAATACCAATGCCAAGACAACACGAATCATTGAATTACAATAAAATTTTGTCTGTATTGAGTGCTATTCATTTGAACCAAATTTTAATTTAATTAAATCAACGCAAACTATAACATCCTCCCTTATGTAAATCTCCATTAAGCAGAATACTGTTCGCTAATAACAAATAATTGTCTAATTATTAGTAACATTCTGCTCTGATAATTTTGAATATTGAGAAAGTCCTATTATGATACGAACTATACTTCCAACGAACGTTCTACCAATCTTCAAGCTTTCTGTAAATGTAAAAGTCACATTTGGACAAAAAAATATGACAGAAATCTGAGACAACGAAGGTCCAAAACGTCAGTCAAAGTTTCACGAGGTTTACGCACTTTAGTTTCGATTCAATCGCCGTATCGAGAAAGATGGAAAGTCGCTTACAGTAATGGATCTCACTGTTTCAATCGACGCCACCTTTGGAACCATTTTATATCAGCTCGCTACTCACTATACCGAGCACTCGGTACGAACGATGACAATTCGCGCGTGTTCCAACGAAGATTCACGACGAGAATCAATATAGGGTCTAGGCAGAGAGTGTGTGCCTGGATAAATACGACGCCGGACGTTAATTAAACGTCAAACGCATCCATTAGAAAACAAAGTTTCTCTCTCTCTAGTCGGAACTAAAAGCCGCCGAATTTCCAACGAGATCCGCCTGTATTTTAATATTTTCAGTGTGGAAAGCATGTTTCGATGCTGTTCGAGCTTTGAATGGACCGAATTCCGAATTTTCCAAAGGACGTTACAGACTTTGTAAATTTCCGGACGATTTGAACGATGTTTTGTAAATTAGACTGAAGTATATTGCAGTTGGACGGCAGATGTCACGATAAAAATATTTTAAGGCGAATAATTTCTATTTGACAGGACTGGAACGCTACGACGATATTATAATTGCACCAAACTGTAATTTAACGTAGACAGTATATAAAAGTTAAACGAACTGATATCATTTCTATGCTGATGTTATTTGATATTATTTTATATAATATAATATCTTATTTGTGTATTATTTATAGTGTGTGATATTTCAAACTGTAATCTTGGATTGGAACGAACAAGTGCGATAAGAAATATATTCGGAAAAAATGCGATTTCTTCTGTTTAACGCGATGAAGACGTATGAAATCGATCGAAAGTTTGAGTGGAATGGAACTGCAACTTCCGCTTATCTGTCAGCTGACTCGATCGAATGAAATACTGGAACTATCGACAAATTCTTTGGAGCCAATTTCTTAAATCGTATCTTTTGTGCCCAACCACGGCCACTATCTATCAAGGAAGATCTGTAGTTCAATTAAGTCGATCAAGGGGAACGTTCTGGGCCATTAACAAAAGTGAAAAGTCGAAGTAACGTAGCAGAGACACAGCACGGACATTTAAGAAAATGTCTGACGCAAAATTTATATATTAGAGGTGCAGAATTTTACTTAAAAGTTAATACAGTTTTAATCTATAATATAATCTCTAGCGTTATTATCAATCTTTGCCCATCTATCTGACAAACTTTCCACTCCCTTTTTATAAAATGAGAGTCATTTTGAAGTAAAAAGCGAACGAAGGTCTTCCAGATTGTACCGTCAAAAAGATTGAAATCACCGTTCTCAAATTTTTTAAACCAACGCTGACATGTTCTAATATCCAGGATAAACGGCATTCATGGCATCAGTGGCATTGTTGTGCTTTCGAAACTCATAAATCATCAAATATTATATTTAACATGTCAAATATTTGATATTTATATTTAATATGAGATTGATATTTATATTTAATATGTACAAATCATCAAGTATATTTAATATGAAATTTCACCACACTTTGCTCTTCCGTTCTTACAGGGTTCACTCATATTTTTCCAAAATTTAACAACAAGCACAATAAATGTCAATGTACTTAACTAGAAGGTTAAGTTATGTTAGTATAGGTTGATATAGATTATTATTGTCACTAGTTGGCAACGTTTATTAATTTAAAAAAAAAGACCCTGATACTTTGTCCGCCAAATTCATTATATTCGTTAATAAAAATTAATCTAAAGCCGGCAGAATTAAATTAACAACCTAGTAAATAATCGCAACACTTTTTATAGGTAAAATATAAATAGGTATAAAATCGAAAAGTCGAGCAGTGGATATAAAAAGAAATGTTCAGTGCTGATGTTAGCGTCTTCATCTCAATGCCAGATCGCAAATTTCGTTTTGTCAATTCGAACCTCCGAAAGGAAACGAATATTTTCCAACTTTTCTCCCTCGTTATTCCTCGCATCTAGCTGAGCGCGCGATATTCCGCGTTATATTTTACGCCGACCTTTGCAAAACCCGCCGCACGAATTCAATCGCGTACGCGTTACAACGGATTTCCGTGTTACAATAGGAAATCTCGCGATTTAAATCGCGAGTTTCTCCACTGTGCATACATCAAACGCGAAACTCTCGGCGTATCCCGATAGCGGATCTCGATCTCGAAATCGCGATTCATTTCCAATATAAACCTCGAGGTACACCTCGTGTCGAGAACGTGGTGAAAAAGGAAATAGAGAGAGAGAGGGGGGAAAAAAAGAACGTGGAGAATTTCACACTCACCTCCTCCCAAACGAGTTGTTTGCTCAATCCGGGTCGGAGATTCATGATTTTCAGTTCGGCTGCCTTCAGAACGCCGTCCTGGGTGAACTCGACGTTCGGTTTCCCTTGATCACCCTCCACCGACACGTTCTTCAAATACCTGAAGAGAGAGAGAGAGAGAGAGAGAGAGAGAGAGAGAGAGAGAGGAAATGCGATTCTCCCTTGAGGACAACGCGACAACATGATTTCGCTCGAGTTTGCTTGGATTCTCTGGACTTTTTCCCGGGACGAAGTTTTCGTTCTACCATTCCTTATAACCTTAACAATTTCTATATCTTATTTATATCGTTCTCGCAATACCTTTTCGTCATTTTCACTTCATTATGTTATTACAATTTTTATTGGGAGACTATAAATGTTTGCAAGAATTGATAACTATCACGGGAAGAATCAAAAGAATCTAATCTAAAATTTTTTTCATTCTTTCTCTGAAACATTAGAACGAGTGTTCAAACATTTCATATACTTTTGCAAATTTCGATCTTTACATAAAATGCATAAATATGCGCATTTTTTTTCCTGTTTCTTATCGATCCATTTATTCCTTTATTTCTTTTCGTTTTCATTAACTTACGAAAAAATAAAAAAACGGGTCTGATTACGATTATTCGAATCTGCAAATGATCGACTTTAACCTAGTTATTATGTTCCTGCTCCGTATAATAATGAATAATAATCCCCCGAGACTCGACCCTATTTTTCTTCGTCTTCATACTTTAATTTCTTTCATTCAGAAAATGCCATTTCTTGCCCATGAATAATGTATCAAACTTCGTGCACAATTTGACCTTTCAATTAAATACGATGTGAAATGAATATGAGACCACAATGAGACAATAACGACTTTCATTCAACACGATTTTGTACTTTTAATCCACTCGAAGCTTGTCGCAGTAATTCCGGGATAATTCAAAGAGAGTCATTTTCTTTTTTTCTTTCTTTTTTATTTTTCGCGTCAGGCGAAATATCGATTCCGATAAATTACTATTGCCGAGAGGATTTAATCAACATTCGCGTCCTTCATTGGAGGTAATTACGCCAAGATTATCCTGCGCATTACGATTAACCACGTGGTACAACTGTGCATCGAACAAATTCATCAATTAATTACACTAGTAATTTATAGTTAGCGCGACTGTTAATTCCATATCGGAAATTACACGCTGGATGATCTATTATCTTGCAATTGGAATGGAACGCACGTGGCTAAAAATTTGAATGGCTATAGCTGAGTAAATTTATTTTGTAACGTTTGCTTCTTGTGAAATGTAGTATCAATTCGTCGTTAACGAGAAAATTTCTTAAAGTTAATCACGTGTATCAACTTGAAAACGTCACGTGAACTTTATATTTTATATTTAATTCCTTACAACAAATTCAGAATTACAATTTCTGGCCGAAGAGATAGATTCTGGTGCTATACTGGTATTTGACTTTCACAATATTCGTACGACGAAGTAATGGAACGACGGCTTAAATGTTCAGTTTCTTTATACAGTAAAATAAAATATGACGAAGTATCCAGATTGCTGATTTTTATTATGCGTTTATAGGAAACATTAAAATGCAAAATTATACAAAATGTTCACGGTATGAAGAAATATATATATATATATATATATATATATATATATATATATATATATATATATATATATATATATATATNATATATATATTGAAAATGCAGTACTCTCTGTAACATATCTTTTCAAAGTTCAAACAAAGAATGTAAAGGTTATGAAATATATAGAATTTTTATAGAATTATATAGAATTTATATAGAATTATATAGAGTTATATAGAATTTATATAGAGTTATATAGAATTATATAGAATTATATAGAATTTATAGTCTAATAATAACTATATGAAATAGTATGCTACTATGTAAAGATTGTATTTTCCAAAATGAATATACGGTCACTCCAAAAAGTCTTTGTGAACAATCATATATGAAAAATTATAGACATTTCATATTTTTGTCAACTCCATCGAAAAAAAAACGCACAATGAATTTTAAAGAGAAGATTTTCATTTCCAAGATGGTACATTTAATGATGAAGAAAAGTTTCTATCCATAAAAGTTTGTTTAAAAGTCTGAATTTGAAGGTTCTTTTAAAAAAAAGGTATACTTTTCTTCTTAAAACTCAACTCTTGTTCTCTTTCTTTCTGAATGACGTAAAAATATTTTTGAAAGAAACAAACACATCCTTTTAAATGTAGAAACTTCAAAATTTAAAATGAATATAAGATTGATAAACTACGATTTTTGTCAATTTCTATGGCTACAGTTAATTAAAGCATCAATGATTTTCTATAAAATGTGAGAGTTCTAAGTGCAACGAGAAGATATATTTAAACTGCTGCAACTTTTTAACATAAAATCTTAGACTCGTCAATTTTATGTTCATGTTAAAGCTCAAAGTTTCTACTTTCAAAATCTTGCATTTGTTTCCTTTAAAGACAGGACTGCGTTTTCAACGCAATTAAATAGAGGTAGCTATTCTCCAAAAAATTTTGAAAAACTCAAACATCTCCATGAACGCTAAAAAGATTATTTTTGCAACTAACTTTTTGAAGTTACCACAGTTTTGAAAATTAAACGAATTTGTTGTAAAAGTTTCGTTTCATAGAGTCTCAGATATCGATATTTCTTCATTTTGTGTACGGAGACATTTTGAGATCTTCAGATTCCGTATATCGTGTTACTGAATCAAGAAATATTGGATTAAAGGGAGCACTCACTTGAAAAACAAGTCTCCAGTGTCCCAGCGGGACTCGCCGTAGCTTCCTTCGCAGCTGAGCTGAGTGTTGAGACTGAGACGTTTGTTCGCCGGGTTGTTCAAGAAATCCTCGGCACCGTACGCGTAAACTTTCACCGCGGTCGTGATCTCGCTCACTAGACTCTCCGTGCTCGTATCAAAATGTACACCTGGAAAAAGAATCAACAAAAGACACGCGGGTCACAAAGAGAAAATAATTCGAGTTACGCTTCTCTAAAAATTATTTCTGTTGTGTTTAAGTAAAAGTATAGCGTCTGTTCTCTACGTGGTTAACAGAATTCAGAGCTGAGTTAATAAATGAAGCTCGAGTTGCTTTCGAAAGGATAACAAGGATGAAAGGACATTAGTTGATGGACAGGCTTCGTTCGAATTAAATTTAATCAAAGTCTCTTCGAAACAGCTCGCTGTCGTCGAGCGGGTGTTAAAACAAAAGAGACGATGATCGACAGAAACGCGCGAGCTCGATTGACGCTCCTGGTGTCTCAAAGGTATTTCCCTTCATTTTTCACTCTTATGTTGTCGAGATACGAAATATAATTAAAAAGTTTGAAGCAAAGAGAAAAAGAGGCTTCACTTTTTATGCATTTTTTATAACTTTTCACTTAATATAGAAAGAAGTTAATTCCACGTAAAAGTTTATTAGTCGAGCATAAATTTATAGCGCGTTTGAAACAACATATAAACTCGTTTTTAATTATTTTTTTTATTGATTCACTGAATTCATCCGAAAGGGAGAGGCTGCCTCCTCGTTAATTTAAACGAAGAATATTTTCACAGAACACTGTGAAACACCGTTAGAAAACAGTGTGAGCGCTGCCTAAAGAAAACTACGCAACTTGAAATTATTCGCAGTATTTATTTTATTAAGAATATTTCCTATTACTAAAAATACGACAAACCAAAAGCATCGGAAAATTTTCTATTTTCTTCCAAGTTTATGAAAGAGGAAATTAGATTTGTAAAAAAACCTCTGTGAATAGAGAAACATTAATTATCCTACTTTTCCTAAGTTTTTTCTCCATTTCCATTCTCGCATCAACGCGTCGACAATAATCGTTCGCCTCGCCAAACTCACGAAATGTTCGATTCCAACGCGGACCAATACCAGATATTTTCAAAAATCGATAAGACTGTAGACAGAAAACCGGTGTTCGGTCTTCGTGGCACCCGTTCGAAAATTATTTGCCAATATCGAGCCCGACTTTCTCGATACAAATCTCGTTTCCTTCCCCTTTTCCATGTTTTCAGCCTCGTACGTGGCATTCCTACGCGGGCTCCCTGAGCAACGACGACATCGTCGACCGTTACAAGTATGTACGTTCCTCCTGCGCGAAAATATTGAATTCAGAGAGCTTTCTGTCGGCGACGTGCTCGCTCGAGGATCTGAATTCCGCGAATATATGCACGCGTCCTCCTCGGCTTGTCCGCGAAAAATACACCGAGGAATAAATCGGAGGCAGAACGGAGCGAAACTCCGGAGCTCGGTGGTCCGCGAATGGCAGAATTACTTTCAACGGCGGTAATTTTGTTTCGTAAACGTTGTTTACACCGTACGCGTTGAAGTCCTTTTGAAGTTCGTGAAATTACACTGGCGGGAAGGGAGGAATTTCGTTTAGATTACAGGGTGTTTCGTAACTTGTAGCACCCACTTCGGGAGCTGATTGTACGCCTAAAAATAATGAAAAACAGTCACGTAAATATATGTCCTATCTGTCTTCGTTTATGAGATATAATGAATTTTCTGTTTTAATTACTTTTACAAAAGATGCTCGAAANCGATGTTGCGTGTACAATAGATTTTAAATGTCCCCACAAGTGAAAATCTAATGGATTCAAATCCGGAGAACGAGCAGGCCACGCAATAGGACCTCCACGACCAATCCATTTATTTGCAAAGTGTTGATTTAAAAATTGCCTAGCCACTCGGCTAAAATGCGGCGGAGCTCCATCATGCATAAACCGCATACGAAGTCTAATATCAACTGGAACTTCTTCTAATATTTCGTGTAAACGTGCTCAAAAAAATCAACGTACTTTGTGCCTGTTAGTTTTCCATCGAGAGAAAAAGGTCCAATTAAAAATTTATCAATTATTTCTGCCCGTACGTTCCAACTAAACTGGCGTTGAAGTGTGAGTTTCCTTCATCCCAATTATGATTATTATGAAAATTGAATATACCATTCCTGGTAAAACTAGCTTACTAGAGTTTTCGCTGTTTATAAAATTCGTTATATCTCATAAACGAAGACAGACAGGACATATATTTATATGACTCTTTTGCATTATTTTTAGGCGTACAATCAGCTCCCGAAGTGGGTCCCACAAGTTACGAAACACCCTGTATAGTTTGAATTGAAAAAGCGACGCAAGAGTGGAAGCGGAAGACGTTTCGTGCCGTCTGGCAACCAGCTTTCACAACTGGATCTTTGTATGTATAAGAATTTCGTTGGCGAACGAAAGTCAGTTCCTGGTGCAGGAATGCAAATCGCATGGGAAAAACTTGAACGCGAGCACCTCTCACCTTGTATTTATTATTTATTACTCGCGTCTATATTTCTCGTTTTCATCTTTCCTCTTTCGTGGCAACTTTACGAAGAGAAAGGTTAAGATCAGTTCCTTTTCCTTTCTTTTTTTTTTTTTTCGTTTCATAAAAATTTTATTTTCCATTCGTGAATGTATAAATAGTAAATTTGCGCAATTTTCTCTATTTTATATTCCTCGTTTACTTTCGAAGGAACACGGAAATTAATTAGTTAGAACAGAAGTCTCGCGAAGCTGATAAAATTTCAATTTTCCTAGCCTTCTCTAATAAGTTGTTGTACCTAACGCTGGTTATGCACATATTGCTTACGCTTATTACTTTTTAAACATTTACGCCTTCTATTTCCCTCTGTAGAAACCGTAAAGAAACATGAAGAAGATCGTAAAGGTTAATTTCCTCTTTTTATCTCTCATAAAAAATTTACAAAGCCGATGGAGATTAAACTCTCCCTTGCCTTTAAGTTAATTTTCGCGAAAAATCGTTAAAATTCATTTTCTCTTTTTCTTTCTTTTGCGTTCGGAAACTACAACGAGAAATGTCCGAGAAACTATTGTAAAATATTCGTCATTATCTTCGATAACGTGTTAAACCTCATAATTTATTTATTTATTTATTCATTTTTCACGGGTAAAGAAATACCCATTAGTACAAAAAGTGATACAATTATAAAAATTTTTAAATCCAGAGACAGCTTAGTGAAACGTCAACAACCGTAAGGATGTTATTCGTGTAAGGGATAGCGAAAGAGATTCCCCCGTTGTTGAAGAGTTTTTGTTAGGTTCGCACGTCGGCCGATATTTTGAGTGGTTGGTCGTTGAAAGGGAGATTCAACGGCGAGGTGAAAATCGCGGAAATCGGAAATTGATGCCTTCCTCGAGATTCCATCGTGACTACCCTACTAGAAGGAATAAATTCATCGAATTCTGTTCCGCAGGAGCACGTCGAACGGCGTACGTTTCGACAGATCGGACCCCTCGATTTCGTCGAGGAGAATCTCCCATGTGACGATTCTTCACCGAGTTCTCGACACTTGCGAACGAAAAACGGAATTTTTACGTGCTTCGTCGAATTTTTCTTTTCAATTTCGATGTAATTTGGCGAGATGATATTTAATGGAGAATTCATTACTTTATTTTTCATACGTTTCTTTAATCAAGTTAAATTGATGTATTTTACTAAACCTCTTTTCACGTTTTAATTAAAAGCAAACGTTACAATAAACAGTGGTTTTAGTTTTTTAATTAAACTTTCGGGAAAATGAAAATTTGCAGAAAAATTAACAATTTTATCATTTTAAAATATTCATTTGGAATTCGTTTAATTAGAGTTATTAAATAAACTTTGAACTCATTGAATTGGTTTCAAAGGAACGATAATACCATTCTCTATATTTTGTGTTAATACAACTGATGCTCTTATTATCTTCTAATCGTTGGAATAAAATTTCAGTTACGGTGGAATTTGATATGAATATTGTATTCTCTCTTTTTCTTTTAGGTGTGAGAAGAAACCACGAGAGAATAATTTCTCGTTCCAATTTCGCATTAGAAGATTCATTAAATGCATTTTCGTTTGTTGAAACAAAAGTGAAATTTAGATTGGGAAATTGGCGAACCATAACGGGTTAAAACGTGTTACTGAAATGTGCATCCTCTTGGTATCAGGAGAATAAAGGCTGACAATGGAAACCAAGATATCCAATCAGCGGAGCAAAATAGCAATTTCATCATGTGTGTACCACCAGGGCAAATTCCATTTCCGAATGACATGAAATAATATCTGCAGACATATGTTTCACTCAAATTTCTCGTTTATATGAATGTCAGAATGTGAATTCTTCATCCTTTTTTTTTTTTTTTCATAATGCTACCAAAGAAATAGTACTACCAAAAATTCCAAATGCTGCAACTATCTCATGTACCATATAATTTCAAATATTTTGCGTGTTATAAAATTTCTGCATTTTAAAGTTTTTCCTAAATGTATATACATTTGCAGCGTAATTACGGCGACGTTCAATTAAATTCCAATAAAACTATTTTACTTCAATTTAAGTGATTCGCTAACTGTGCTCATTGCTTCAATTATCGAAGATAGTCTCTACTTTTTGTTTTCAACAAATTCATTTGTGATCCTCGTCATAATGTTTGAAAATATTTCTCGAGGAATTGGCTCATTAAGAACCAATATTTTATCATAATGTTATAATTTATCCAACACGACGTGCCTTGTCAAAATTTTGAGATCAAAAATTTGGAGCACTCTTAACTAAATTTTTTAGCATCTTTCTACGAAACAAGAATATTACAATTACAATATGAACTTCTAAATGAAACTAATTAAATTTTTAGTTCTACAAAAAGACAACATTACGAATAAAATGTTCATTTACTCGAAGAGATCATTATTTCTTTTTTAAACTCTTGCATGCTGTAAACTTTTTTGAACTTTCTGCGAAGACTTACGAATAAATTTACAAATCGTGGAAACTACAAATTTGTAAATAGAAGAACAAATATATATATACATATATGTAAATAATTATCTGAATATTACCCCTGGCGAAAAGTTTTCGATCAAACGCAAGTATTTAAAAATATTGAGATCTTTTGTGTAAGAAAATTCGATTGAAATCGTTGATTCTAATCGTACAAACACAACAATATCTTATTACCTGAAAGGTTTCAACGTTTTTAAACTCGAGTATTTGAACTTGTGGTTTTTGTGTGTGTGTGTGTGTGTGTGTGGTCAGTAGATACATACATCACAAACGTAAAAATTCCCCAAAAGAACTCACCAAGCATCCCAATCGGAAACTGGCTGGGCGTCTGCAGGTTCTCGATGACACTCTGCGTCACGACCCACACGTAATTTTCTCCGGTGATCTTGTAATCGTGCGCCGCGCCCAGTATTCTAATAGCTTCCTCCCTCGTCGAGTAGAGCAGCATCACTCTGGACTCGCTGTTTACCAGCTCGAGGAGATCTCGCGGATCGGTGACTAGGATCGCGCTCAATATCGTAAACTTGAAGGTATCCTGCATGTCGGAAATCCTCTCGCGGACCGCCTGCACGAAATCGTCGTGTCCGGCGATCTGCGATGTAACCACGCTGAATTGATGCCATTTATACCTCTCGAGGATGCTGAGCATCGCGGCCGTTTGGTGTTCCAACGATGGTGCCAACTGCAGCTGCAGGTTGCTCTGCGAGGCTCTCTGAAACGTGACGGAAATTCATGCATTTTCAAACGGATCGTTCTGACGTGATTACGTCTTCTATCGCGGCTGTTGAGAGAACACATCCGAGTTACATCGAACGAATTTTCGTCTCTGTTTTCAATATTAGTTTAGCTACATTCAGCTGACAATGAACAATTTCTAAATTAATTGTTTTCTTTCTAAATTAGTCGTACTTTTCTACATTATCTTTTGTCAGTAAGTTTCTTGAGTTGCAACATCGTCGCTGAAAAGAGACTTATATAATAGAACACACTTTTTTGGGGGGAGACGAAACAAACTCTTATACTGTATGAAAAGTGGGAATATTATAATTGTAACTTTGAGATATAATGAACGAAAGTTTCAGAATGAAATATTTAGCTTCCTTAACGAGATTATTTCTTTGAAAAACTTCACGCGTTCCAAGTTTTTCAGCGGGTGTGTATAATTCTTTGTTTTAATTTTTCATTGGAGGTGTCATTAAAACGAGAATGCGGTTAATGCGACGATGCATAATTTTTCAGGAATAAAAGTTGCGATTATGTAATATCTAGCACATTAGCTTTTTAATTATCTTCCTCTTATATATTTAGTAAAACATAATACGCTTATAAAAATGTACATTTAGCGATTAACTGAAAAAAATGTAACCAGAATAGAAATTTACTAAACAACGCAACGAACATTTTATATATTCTTGTACCTCCAAATTTTACTATGACCATACATCCGCAGTTTATTAATTACAATTACAACGAATGAAATATATGAACGACATGAACAACAAACTAATTGCAACGAAGGTTTCAAAAGAATAATTGAAATTATTCTCTTACGATTATCATCATAAAGAACTCGCAGAAGTACAATGCTGGATTAGTTTGATTTTCATTTCTATTTGCTCTTTGCAAGACACCGAGAAACAATTCTTTCAAACCAGCTGCGTGCCTGTCTGTGAACGAATGTTCTGATGAGAGCAAAAAGGACATTTCAGCTCACCCGCTCCAATCCCGAATTATCCGCGTTCCATGCGATCACTGGAATTCCCAAGTAACCAGCCAGCTGCAGGAAGTATTGAGCACTGGCAGTGCTGCGGCCGTATTTCTCGTAGTTCATCAGGTACAAGATGGCGGACACGTTCATCGGCAGAAATTCGTTGCACAGCGACTTCAGAATTTCTGCAACACGAATAGAACACCGTCGATGTCAGACACTTTTTTTTTTTTTTTCTTAATGATCAGTGGTATTTGTTGGAACGATTGTTTCGACAATTTTCAGATATTCCATTAAATTGTAGCGGCATTTGCTTGCCTACGTAATTATTCAGAAACTTATATCGATCAGTAAAGTACTGATCAAATTATACAAATATGATTCTCATTCCACTAATAGGAAAACGATGAGAGATTCTCTTCTATTAAGATCCTTATATACTGCAAATCAATTTTTTTGCAATTTAATCTCCATCTTATTAATTATTATCTATTATTATATTAATATTTATATTATTTATATTATATTAGATTATAATTATAATATATATTATATTAATATTTATATTATTTATATTAATTTTTATTAATTATTATCTATTGTTATATCATCTATTATTCTATATTTTATTATTATCTGTGTTTCTATATTTTTATAAGTGGAATTTAAATGGAAATTTTTTAAAATTTATTTATTACATAATATTACAATAAATGCTCTGCATAAAATTTCGCAATTCACATTTCTGATGAAGATATCACGTGCTCGACGACCTCAACCGTTTGAATCACCGTCACATTCTGGTAACAAGGGTTTTTCAATAAATTGCCAATTCGTAGCGAGCCGCAGCAAAGTGATAAAATAAAATGAAAATTATCCGTGTAATGGAAGAAACGACGCTGGTGATCGCGTTTGCATGATTTGTTGTCGGTGTAATTGTTCCTGGATAGTATTCTGTGAATTATCGCCACGATATATCTCGATTGCGAGCGCTAAGCGATTCCTTTCCCGCCCTTGAAAAAACAAAAAGAAAAAAAGAAAAAAATTGTCACGATAAACATTTGCGATCGCTAAGGAGCATAATACCGAACGATCGACAAATGCTTGTCTCAATCGATCAACGACCATCAATTTCACAAAAGAGCTCGTTGCTCGTGCCAATCGTCAATCGACAGTCTGAGAAAACTCCGTGAAAAATGGGAACACGAGAGAGAGAGAGAGAGAGAGAGAGAGAGAGAGAGAGAGAGAGAGAAGGAACGAATTTTTATTTCCTACGTGTTACAGTTGCAAGATTCGCGGCTGAAAAATTCAACAGCTATCGGTCAAGCTTTAATCTCGACTATAATAGAAATCGTGAGCTCGCATCTGTTGGAAATCTTTACCAGCAGGCAATAACAACCACCTGACACATTCGAGATGACAATCCCCCCTTCCCTCTGCTCTATTTTGTTTCCATTCTTTCCGCGATACTTCGTACTTGCCGGCGATTTCATTTTCCCCGTTCACCGATCGGTTTATTCTATTTTCATCGCGAGCACCAGCGCGCAACCGGGTCATTTTTGTAAAAACGTAGGAGATCACGAAGGGGGAAATTGATTGATTCTCGATGATTCGGGAAAATTTATATCGGATTCCATGTTCGATAACTTCGGAGAGAATTTCATGTACCCTACGTTACAGGTTATGTTACAATGAAAGGCCATTATGTTCTTTTCTAGTTAAGATAATTAAAACGTAGACAAGCTTGTATATGTTTGTATGGTTCATTGTATAGTTATGGTTCCCTCGTAATCTACTGCTTTCTCTACTAATTTTATTATTACTGCCAATTCTTTTGAAGTATGAATTCAATAACGCCGCACCGTCCGAATATTTCCAGGCAAATCTAATAATTTCATTCTTCCATCGCTTCGGGTTAATTTAATAATTTTCATTCCTCCGTTCTTCGCGCGCGAAACGTCTGAAATTTCTGAAAAATTCCAAAAGCAGCAAAAAACTTATAAAATCCATACAATGCGGAAAAATATGCGCATACGTTCCATTCTTTCAGTTGCAATTTTAATAAAAAGATACGTATAAAAGTCCGATCGTAAGCAATTCACCGATTCCATTCATCCTCGTTTAGAATCCTCCAAGTGATTCCTGCAGATCTCCCGTTTGAAACGATATTTGGACAGTTCTTTTGCTTCATCGATTCACCGTTGGCTCTTTAGCCGTCGCTGTTACGAAGCAACAACGCAAACTCGAAATCGCGACCATCGTTCGAGTCATGGACACATCCTGACCTGTCCCCCTCCGCCTCGTTTCCCGATGCCCTCGTAACCTCGTTCTCTCCCACGTCCTCGTTCCCACCCCTTGTTGCATTATTCTTCCCGATGGTTTCTTAATTTCACTTCTTGCTTACGATCAGGATTCCCGACAGGGAAATCTTATTAACCCGTGGAAATTTTAATGAAAGCGTAAGCTGGCGTTCCATATGCAAGCGGAACGGTGAATGAAAACCTACGATTCGCTGCGACTTCTATTTGAAATTTGTCCAATTTATCGTACCTTTCGATTCTTCCGTGTTTTATGTTCGATTTGATCTATGTTGATCTGAGCGATTCGCCGTCAATGTTAAGAATGTTGAGTTGAGTTTTTAACTCTGATCTTGTCACTTTCGATTCTTTCTTTTCTTTTTTTGCAAGTAATTGGAAACCATTGATCGTTATTTTGTTTTATTGAAAATACTCACACCTGGATATTTCGTTTATGAATTTGGATTTGGAATTGTACGTAGACGGTGTTTGGTATAATATTAGATATAGTTTATTAATTTTGGTTTCAGAAATTTATTATTTAGGTTTCTATTAAAATTTTTTCTTGGATTACTTTGAAAATTATTGAAGCTTTCATTTAATAATTTCTCAAGTTCTTCGAATCATCGATTTGCAAATTTCAGTCAGATGTATCTAATTATCAGTCAAATACAATCTAAATTACTGCCCAGAAATCATTGAAAGTTAGAAAAAGTACAGTATTGTTTGTAAATGAAAATTTCAATCGACATCTCGTTTACAAAAATCTGAATTCACGCAAAATATTTCTTTCAATTATACGAACGCATTGACGGCTCCTTCGTTTTCCAGATATTTCCTTTATTTCTTCAGACCTGCACAAGTTCGCAAATAAAAACAGAAATTTTTTGTTACGGTTCGTTTCTCTTTTCTCTCATATCGTCGTTATTTTAACAAGCGTTTGTTGCCAAGCGGGTGCACGAAACTTCCTGCAAAAGGCGCACGTGACGTATATCAAAGAATTCTCCATGAAATTTCCAACTTATAGCCAAGTTATCTCAATACCCGGCTATGAAATTCCACATGTATCCAGTGTGTCGACTATTTCGAACATCCGGTGTACAGCAGAGCGAATTATTAACGATATCAAGGGTGTTCCTCGAAAATGAACCAATGCTCATGGTACACGCGTGGAACGATAATTAAGCTTAGTTCCTTGTGCTGGATTATTTTCATTTGCTTCCCACACTCAGTAAAAATTATAGTTTGATTGAAATCGTATACCTTCGTTCGTTTCTAATATTTAAGACAAGTATTTATATTTTTGTGGATATAGGATAATATAGGAGAATAGAGGATAATATTAATGTTAACAAATAATAATAATAATAATAATATTGCATTCACAGTCATCAATTTTTTCCATATATAAATACATTTATTTATTTAAACTCCAGTGATAGGAAAGTTGTTTCTGTGGGAAAACCCGGAATAATCTTTTGTAATAGCTTCAGCATTTTCTGACAATAGGTTTCCAACTTTTTGTTATATTTTACTTTTTCAATCCCATTTTGGAGACAAATTTCAAAGCAAATTTTTTTAAATTTGTGCAAAAGAATTGTCTTTAATCGAAGTTTCAGTGACATTTTTAGTTGCATTTTAGCATCCCCAATAAACAATTGTACACATAACATACAGTATCTTGTTAATTACCGAAAGTATTCAAACTCTATATTTCACGTGTAACACCATCACGAAAAATACACCTTTCACAGCGTTTATTTTATTGAAATATTGATAAAAATGGCTCATAATTCATCCTTCATGTCACTGGAACATATGCATACATCCTAGTTTCCAATTTGCAAGCAAATTTTTCTAAAATTAATATATTTCATTTCAACATATTTAAATCAAAAGACTCTAAAATTAAGCAAACATATTTAAATCAAAAGACTCCAAAATTAAGCAAAATACCCATAATTAAAAGCAAAAAAAAAAAAAAAGAGACTAAGAAAGTTAAGCCTCAGTGCAGTAGAGTTGGCGTTTCTATAGGATAGAAGCAAAAAATCAACACTGATGTGAACTCTGGTATTGCTCATAAAAGATTGAAATTTGCCGGTTGTCGACATCCGATCGGTGGTCGCTGACACGTGTACGTGTGCGCGGAACATCGCGATAGTAACTACTATTCTCAACACGAATGATTGTATCGTGTTTTGCCACGTGAATCTAAACTAACATGAACCGGAACAACGCTCGTGATAAATAATCGCGCGCGATCGTGAGCCAATATAAACGGAAATTCACGTGAAAACTGACGATTAGTATTGCCATTAAATTGTTGTAATTCGCATGCTACACAAGGGAACATTATGACACCGCAATTATATCGTGCTCTTGTAATAATTTAATTAAATAAACATTAGAATTGTTTTGCAATTTGTAGCTTTTTCTTTTCACCAGTTTTGTTCAATCGTTCATTGAAATTGAATATTATGAGAAGCGGCATACGATAGGTTGCTTTATCATTTGCAATTTCTCATTTCCCTGGAACGGTTTATTAATTACTACACGAGTATCCGGGATATAAAAATACAATTTCCTAGATATCGAGTGTTTCTTTTTATACATTTCGTGACGATCAAATATTTTAGAGAGAGAAAATAATATTAGAGACGAGAGTAATAGGTAAGATACACTTGAATTGTAATTAAACAGGTGTGCAACAACTTATTGTTTAGAGATTATTATTATTCATTAAACTATTATAATTGAAGATCAATGTTCTATTTTCAATCAGTCAACATTACAAAATCACAGTTTTTTTATGCCAAAACAATCAGGACTCAATATTATTTCTCTCGTGAAGAATTTACTACTTTCTATTTACTATTTTCTATTTTCTA